CCTGCTTCCAAGGGGCCCAAGCTCAGGAACAGAAGGACAGGGCCAGCTCCCGACTGCTGCAGGTGCCGCGGCCCCGGCACAGCTCAGCGGTGGGTCTGTGTGGTTTGCTCCTCTCCCAGCGATGGGCCTGGGTGGGTTTCCCTGCCCCACGCCGGACAGGCCCGGCCCCCCCGGCAGGGATGAACCGGGTGGCCCCGGCCCCCGTTACCGAATTCGTCCTCCATGGCCATGATGATCTCCACTTGGTCCAGACTGTCCAGGCCCAGGTCCTTCATGAAGTGGGACTCGGCTGTGAGCTGGAGGAGAACAGGGCGGTCAGCGGGACCCGGCCCGGGGCAGAGCCCCTCACACCGGCCCTGCGGTCACACCGGCCTTGCGGTCACACCGGCCCTCCCGCCGCCCCCCGGCCCCGCTCGCCTTCTCGGGGTCGATCTTGTCGTAGAGCTTGAGCACGTAGAGCACCCGTTCCTTGATGTCGGCCAAGGTCAGGGGCGGCAGGTCGGAGAAGCGGCGGCACGGCGGCGCGGCCGCGCGCGGCACCCGCAGGAGCGCGGGCAGCAGGGGCCGGCCCGGCGGGGCGGGCGGGACGGGCGCGGCGGGCGCGAGGCGGTGGAGGGCGCGGAGGGCGGCGGGGCGGGCGGGCGGCGGCAGCAGCAGCAGGCGGGCACAGGACGAGAGGACACGGGCCGCCATCGTCGCTGTCCCGGCGGGCGCCGCGCGGGGCAGCGCCCCCTGCCGCCCGGAGGCCCCACAGCGCCCTCTGCCGCCCGGAGGCCGCACAGCGCCCCCTGCCGCCCGGAGGCCGCACAGCGCCCCCGGTACAGCCTGGCACCCACCCCAGGTTGGGTCATAGAACCATAGAATCATGTCCAGGTGGAACTTCCTGGGTATCAGTTCCTGCCCCTTCCTCTTGTCCCAGTTCTGGGCACCCCCGAGCAGAGCCTGGTCCATCCTCTGCCCCCTCCCTGCAGGCACTGACAGAAACTGGGGTGGTTCCCTCTCGGTGTCTCTTCTCGAGGCTGAACAGCCCCAGCTGCCTCGGCCTTTCCTCATAAGGGAGATGCTCCAGTCCCTTCAGCACCTCCACAGCCTCCTCTGGACCTGCTCCAGGAGCTCCATGTCCCTCCTGTCCTCAGGACACAGCACTGCAGATGTGCCTCCCCAGGGCTGAGCAGAGGGACAGAATCACTTCCCTAATCTGCTGGGAAGGCTCTTCCCAATGCTCCAGGATCCCAGTGGCCTTCTAAGTTCTCAGGACACACTGCTGGTCCAGGACAGCAGGACATCAGGTCCTGTGGCCGTGCTGCCCCCCAGCAGTGCCCCAGTATGGCAGCAGCAGACACAGAGTCATCCAAAGGCAACGTTTAATGGCATCACACACACCTGGCACACGCAGCCCCAGCAGCATCGGGGTACCGGTGATGGGGTCCTGCCCCGTCAGGCGGCTCCCGGCTGGGGCTGCCGGTAGCGGTACAGCCGGACGGTGCCATCACGCTGCCCGGCCAGCAGCCCGGCCCCGGCCGTGGCCCAGCGCGCCAGGGCCCAGCGCCCCGCGGGGCCCGGGGGCAGCAGCGCCGTGCAGCAGCCCCGCAGCAGGTCCCACACGGCCACGGCGCCCGACGTCAGCACCGCCGCTCCCGCCGTGTCCCACACGTCACCCTCCAGGTACCTGCAGGGACAAGGGCAGTCAGCACATGGCAGGAGGTCTGCAAAAACACCACGCAGTGCAGGGTTTGTTCCCTTAGCTTGGGGTTCAGGTACAGATTATTGCCCAACTGCAGTCAGGCTACAGTCCGGGCTGTGCCTCCAGCACAGCCGAGAAGGGAGGAGGTCAAGAAAATGCTCCTTGAGACTCAGAACATACTTGAAGAAGATGGACTCTTAAAAAAAGGTACTCTTAAAAACAACTCTGTAAAGAAAGCCCCATCCCTGTAAGTGTTCAAGGCCAGGCTGGACAGAGCTTGGAGCAACCTGGTCTAGTGGAAGGTGTCCCTGCCCACGGCAGGGGGTGGAACTGGACGATCTTTAAGGTCCCTTCCCACCCAAACCATTTTGTGATTCCATAACTGTTCAGTAAGCAAGATCTTGATCCACTGCTCCTCCCACACATCCATCACATTTCCTGTGCAAGGAACACTGCAAGACTGAGCCTTGAAGCTGAGGCTGAACCTGCTGACGCTTCAAAACACAGGGCACAGGAAGGAAAAGGCCATCTGCCTGCAGCACTGCTCCACACAAACCAACCTGGCCGGGGGCTCTCCAGCAGCCAAGAGTGCCACTACTGCAGGCAGGAGCACAGGATTGCCTGAGGAGCCCAGGGACACAGGCCCCCAGCCCCAGTGCTGGGGCGAGGGTCAGGGCACAGCAGGAAGTGTCCCACCCACACCCCCAGCCCTGCCCGCCGCGCACCGGACACGCGGCAGCGCCGGATGCAGCCCCTTATCGCTGGGGGGATGGCAACGGGATCCCTGCCAGCGCTGCTCCACTCTCCGGGCCCTCCCACAGCCCCTGCAAGGAGCCAGAACAGCCCCCAGCACTTGCCTCCCTGCAGGGCTCGGTGGGAGGGAGGAGAACATCACCCCCCGGCTCCTGCCTGTCCTGGGGTTGAAGGCCACCACGCGGAACGCTGGGTTTCCACAGGATTCGCTCTCTTTGGCATGTGGATGGCTTAAAACAACAAACAGAAGGCCCTGATAGAGAGAGGGAAAATACATCACTAGAAACAACAGCAGGAAGGGAAAAACGCAAAGAATTTTCCAAAAATTAACAGCTGCAGTCTCTCTCTAATCGCAGCCCCATGGACAGTGATACATTATTTTTACTGAAGAAAACAGAAATGGTTTACTTTCCTTATCAAATTAGATAAAAACCAAAGCAGCAGCTGGCTGATAAGGGCTGACGCAACACAGCAGAGTGACAGCTCAGTGACCCAATGGATTTATGCATTTATCTTCAATCCTCAAGAAACCTCAATCCTTTGCATCCCCAGCCCAGTCAGTGCAGCCCAAGCATGAACTGAATTTCATGTACGTACAGAGTCGGAATATGCTCGATGGCAGATGGAAGCTGGGTAGGAATAACCAACGTGCATCTTCCTCAGGAGCTGGCCCGTTTTCAGATTCCTGCAGTTGGTGAAAACAAACTCTGATACATTTTCATCCTCTAATCACAGTTACACCACTATGCAAGATGGACATGGGTTTGGTTCCACGTCAACCAAACAAGCCAAGAGGCCACAGGGAGGGTGTAATGAGAATGATGCAAAAGCAATGGAATTACAGCAGCACAGTTCATTCCCTGTCCATGAGACTGCGGGGTCACACTGCAGGCCCTCTGACAACCACCATTTCACAGGTGGCTCAGCAGCCAGCCAGCACCCCCACACAACCCTGCAGCTCTCTGCTACAGTCCCCATCCCCCTAAACCGTGTAATGGCAAGGAAACACCGACCACACCACGATGCTGTTGGCTGCAGTGGTGCCCACCAAGGCCTCTCTCATCCCTTCTACTTCAGCAAAGGCTGTAACAGTTTCTTCAGGGGGCATCAGGGTCTGCCTGTCCTTGCTCCTGAAGGGAGATCAGCACAAAGAAAAGCAGTTGAAATAACAAGTGCCTGTTCTGTGCTCAGCACCACTCCAGGAAGAACAGGAACCCACTTGTTCTACATCCAAGATGTTTCCTCACTTTTATCCCACCTGCCACACTGAGACCACCCCAAACCAGCACCCCCAAACTCACCCTCCTGTCCCTGAGAGCCACACCAACTCCACTTGCTGCTCCTGCAGGGTCCTGATGCTGCTCACTACCCTCTGGTCCTTTAGCCCAACAACTGCTTTTATATTCCCAGATTTCACTAGGGAGTGCTTGAACAAGTCAGTCTCAGAAGAATAAAGCAAGGTCCTAAATCAGGAGACAAGCACATACCATGACAGAAGGAAGCACCACTCAAACATGCCATAGCATATACAAATCAGCCCATATTTACTCAGTCTGCCAGCTCTGGGGTGAATGAACAAGTCTTTATAGTTGATTTTTAGAAATCCCTTGCACCTTTTCCAATTGCTAAAGCAACTGAGAGAGTAACACATTAATAAAAAGATAATTTCAGACACTACAAAGGTAGTAGTGAGGAGAGCTAAGCTGCAACCAGTCAGGGGGCAAAGTGGTAGCAATAAAT